ACCTGGGTGGCCCAGTCAGTTACGTATCTGACTCGATTTAGGTTTAGGTCATATCTCACAGTTTGAGGGATTGAGCCCCACACTAGGCTCTGCACTGACAGAGCAGAGCCTGCTTGAGATTCTCTCTTTCCCCTGTCTCTGCCTCTACCTTGCTCGTGCAAGTGTACACACACATGCTCTCACTCTCTCTTAAAAATAAACATTTAAGGAAGCACCTGGGTGGCTTAGAAGGTTAAGCATCTGACTATTAGTTTAGGCTCAGGTCAAGATCTCACATTTTGTGAGTTCAAGCCCTGTGTCAGGCTCCATGCTGACACTGCAGAGCCTGCTTGGGATTCTCCCTCCCTCTCTCTCTCTGTCCATTTCCTGCTCACATGCGTGCAAGCTCTCTCTCTCTCAAAATAAACTAAAAAAGGTTAAAAAATAAACATTTAGAAATGAGAAAAGATTGTTCTGTGACTCATAGCAAAATATTTTAAAATCCATTTTTTTAAGATGCCTCTTCAGAAACTAAGAGGACACCAGAAAAGAAAATTGGCAAAGGACAGAAACAGAAAATTCAAAGAAAAAGTAATAGAAATAGCTCTCAAGCCTCACTCAGATGAGAAATACAAGTTAAAACCATCCATATAAAAAATTACCCAAGATCAACAACCTAATTAAAAGGCTGAAATTATAAAACCACAGATCTTCCTTCACTTATTATGGGGTTACATCCTGATAAACTCATCATATGTAAGTTGAAACTATTGTTAAGTCAATAATGTACTTACTATATCCAAACCACCAAATATCACAGCCTACCTTAAATGTGCTCAGAACACTTCATTAGCCTACAGACGGGCAAAATCACCTAAGACAAAGTCTATTTTATAATATAGTGTTGAATTTCCCATGTAATTTATTGAATACTGTACAGAAAGTGAAAAGCAGAATGATTGTAGAGGTAAAGAATGGCTGTAAGTGTATTGGTTGTTTACCCTCATTATTGTGGGGCTAACTGGGAGGTATGGGTCAGTGTTTCTGCCCAGGATCAGGAGAGAGTATCCTATTATGTATCTCTAAGGCAAGAAAAAGGTCAAAATTAAAAATTAAAAGTACAGTTTCTATTAAATACATATTATTTTACACCATCATAAAGTTAAAAAATCATAAGTTGAACCATAATAAGTTGGGGACTGTCTGTATTTGAAAAATATATAGGGATAAATCTTCATGCCCTTTTATTTAGCAATGGACTCTTAGATTTGACATTACAAGCATGAGTAAAAATAAATAATAGATAAAATGAACTAAATTAAAATTTAAATGTTTTAAGTATGAAAGGACAGCCTTCAGAAAGTGAAAAGACAAGCTACAGAATGGGAAGGAAATTGTTCCAAGTTATATATCCGATAAGGGTTTAGTATTCAGAATATATACAGAACTCTTACAATGCACAACAAAAAAGAAACCATCTAAGTTAGAAATGAACACAGGGCTTGAAAACACATTTCTTTAAAGAAGACATATAATGGCCAAAAAGCACATGAAAATATGTTCAAGATCATTGATGAGATACCAATGAGATACCACGTCACACCCACTAGGACAGTTAAAATTTAAAAATTAGAAAATACCAAGAGTTGGCGAGGAAGTAGAGAAAAGGGAATCCTAGTACACTCCTGGTGGGAATGTAAACTAGCGCAGCCACTAAGGAAAACAGTATGGAGAGGATGTGAAGAAGTAAGAGTTTTCATACATTTTTTTGAGGAATATAAAATGTTGTAGATGCTGTAGAAAATAATTTGATGGTTCCCTAAAAAGAAAAAGCAGAATCACCATATGATCTGGCAACCCCCAAGTACTCAAAAAGAATTTGTTCATAAATCTTTATAGGAGTAGTATTCATAATAGCCAAATGGTAGAAATAACCCAAATGTCCACTAACAGATAAATTAAAAAATTGTGATCTACACTACCAAGTTATTCTGCCATAAAAAGGAATGAATTATAGATACATGAGACTACCTCGATAAACCTCGAAGGCATTATGGCTAAGTGAAAGAAATCAGACACAAAAGGTCATATATTGGACAACTACTTTAATATAAAATGACCCAAACAGTCAAATCTACAGGAACAGAAAGCAGATTAGTATTTGCCAAGCATTAAAGGAGGGAGGACAGACGAATGGGGAATGATTACTTAATGAATATGAAGTATCCTCCTGCAATACTAGAGAGTGATGAAAAAGTTGCAATACTAGAGAGAAGTGATGAAAAAGTTGCGATACTAGAGAGAAGTAGTTCAACATTGTAAACATGCTAAAAGATACTGAACTGTACAATTTAAGATGGTTAATTGTGGTGCCCCCAGGTGTCTCAGTTGGTTAAGCGTCTGACTCTTGGTTTTGGCTCAGGTCATGATCCCACAGTTGAGGAGTTCTACCCCTGCATCAGGCTCTGTGCTGATTGCAGAGCCTGCTTGGGATTCTCTATCTTTCCTTCTTTCTCTGCCTCTCTCTCTCAAAATAAGTAAATAAGCTTAAAATTTTTTTTTCATTAAATGGTTAATTATAAGAATAAAAATAAAACTAGATCAACAAAATGGTTGATTGTATATTAAGTGAATTTCAACTCAATTAAAAAAAATCACACTGGTACATCATTTTTCAATCATTTATAAGACCAACTCCAAAATTTGATAAGAACATTTTGTTGAAAAAACTGAAAGGAAACAAACATTCTCATGTATTACTAATGGGAATAAAAATGGGTACAATCCTAGAGCAGGAGTTTGGCAATATCGAACAAAATTTACAAATATATTTTCCCACAGACATCCTTCCACAAAGAGCAAATAAGGTATACACAACATAACTCATTACAGTACTGTTTGTAATAGAAGAAGACTACAAATAATGAAAGGGCCTGTTAATAGAAGACCAGTTAAACTAAATTATCATACATAAAAGGAGTGCTATGATCCTGGATTGAAAAAGCTCCCAATATACCACTATCCTTTGTGTAAGAGTAGTGGGGAAGGAAAGAATATATATTCCTACTTACATGTATGGAAATTAGATAAATAATGCAGACAGACAGGCAGACAGATGATATACAACAAAATAGTTAAAAGCGGTTAACTCTGGAGTAGATGGGAAGGCAGGAAATGGTAAAGACTTTTTGCTTCATATCTTTTAAAGCTTTTTGGTTTTTTGATTCCTGGGAATTACAAAAGGAAAAAATTCAGAGACTACCAACTGTTTTAAAACCAAAACCAAAACCAGCGTGCCTGGGTGGCTCACTCAGTTAATCGACCACTTCTTCCTTTCAGCTCAGGTCATGATCTTGCATGGTGGGACTCAGCCCCACATCTGGCTCTGTGCTGAGCATGGAGCCTGCTTGGGATTCTCTCTCTTCCTCTCTCTCTGCCCCTCCCCCACCCATGCTCTCTTGATCTCTCAAAATAAATAAATTTTTAAATCAAAACACAATCCAACAGAACACTTCCATAGATTAGATAGTTCACTTAAAGTATGTCACTCGTGCTTTGACTTACCAATTTTAAGACTGCAAAATTAACAGTCTTTTCCCTCCCAACAGCATAATCTCCTGCCACTCTTCATCAACTTCAATGCTCTAAGATTCAGGTTCAAACTCTATGTCCAAGAGAGTACCCTGCTTTCTTGTCTTGAGGCATTTATACCCAATCTGTTAACTTTGGCCTTTCTTGGCCCTCTTAACTTTCTTTTACACAGTCTCAGTCTCACCACAGAGATTTTCCTCTAAGATGCACTTTTCTTACAAATACTCCCACATTCACACATACATAGAGATACAAAGCCTAGGCTAGATAAGAAGCCCTTCCTTGGTATTCCCACAGTATCCTGTCCTTAGGGACACAGACTCCAGATTGAGACAAGCCTGACTCCGAAACTTGAGTTTGGCACTTAAACTAACTGTATGATGTCCAAAAATTTCTATAAAGTCATATCTGCCTGATAGAACTGTTAACCAATATGTTAAATGAGTTAATGTATGTAAAGCACAGAGCATGACACATTAAATTGTCATTAAATAGTAACCAGTGTTATTACTCTTTAGGTGGCACTGAGCACTTTATACTAACTACTGGAATAATTTCCCTCTTTGCTCCTTGTAATAAAGCCTCCTTTGAAAACTATACATACTCTAATACTGACTGGGGCAGAGACTATCTTCATAACATTAGGTATATTCTGGAACAGTGCTTAGTACAAGATAGAGGTGTTCTGTAAACATTTGATAAACAACTTGTGTCAATACTGTGAGTGACAAATAAAAATAAGAAAGTCTTCAAGAAATCAACTGAATCAGTGATCTCAATAAAAGATCACTGTACTTTCTGCACTAGAAAGCAAAGAATGCTGATTCCCAATCCCCCCTCTCATGTAACACAGCATAATCTGTTAGGATTTATCTATTCTTGAGAAGAAAAATATCAGTTATCTATTAATACAATAAAAATAAAATTACATTTTATTTTAAAAAACTATCTATAGATATCAAACAGATGATAAACTTAAGAAACCAGATTCTGGTGCTTATGTTACCTTAAGCAAATTATTTAAGGTCCACGTACTTAATCTATGCAATGAGGACCAATATACATACTGACAAGAAAAAAAATAATGAATACTAGGAACTACCAAAATTCCTAATACAAAGCACAAACAGAAATACTATCAATCAGTAAATATTAATTATAAAAATTTATGATATAAAAAGTCAATTCAAATTCTTCAAATGAATTTTAGATTTCCTTGAAAATGTCATAAAATTTTATAGATCTGTTCTTTCGTAGCAAAACTGAACCAAAAAAAATGAAACAGCTTTAAATAACAATAATTTTCTTTATGAGAAAAAGATCAGCACATTGTACTAGGATGGATTATATATAATGAATGAAAGGTGAAATAATTTGACACTGCTGGACTGACAGACTCAATGTACATTATTTATTCCATCATTATGTACCTCGACATCCTGAACACTGGATAAAAAAGTTGATCAAATCCAGAAGTGCGATGTCCCTGTCTTGTTTATATGATTCAATCCAGTCATCCACCACAGACTGTAGGAAAAAAATACATAAAAATGAAAACTCAAAAAAATTTGTATTACAACCAATAAATTTTTTAAAGTTTGTGATTTTATCTGTGTGTGGTCTATTTAAAATACTTACCCGAAATCATTTCTCTGTAGCCAAATAAAAGTAAAGATTCCTTTATTTTTCAAGAAAATTAAAAGATGAGTTACTAGGTTTCAAAAACTTGTTTAAACTGGAACACAATACAAAACTGACTAGTTCAATAATTATTAAGCAACTATAGATACCAATATTCAAACCACATTGTGAAAATACAAAAGCTAAACTAAATACACTTACACATAGAAACTGTTCATATATCAAAAAACCTATTTCATTAGTAGTGCATAAAAAGAATACACACCTTATATAAAATGCATTTTTGTCAGGAATGAAAAAATGAGTTAATATTAGGAAATCAAATAATTCAATTATAAAGGAGAAAAAATTAAATGAAATTACTAGATCTCAAAATGGTATGTGACAAATAAGTACAGCCACCAAGCTTAATACACAACTTCCAGAAAAAGTAAAGTTAGATGAAATATATACAAACAAGATACAAAGACTAAAATATATTTATTGTTGAAATGCTCAAGACATTTCAACTCAAAATGGAACAAGGCAAGGATGTATCCTTAATTATTTGACACAGGTTTTAAGTTTTTAGTAAAACCAAAAATTAGTTAAATGATAAAGAGAATTCTCCCTTTCCAAAAGTTGGAAAAATACCTAATAGTCTCTAGTAAAGGGACTCAAAAGATTCCTACCGGAAAAAAACTGATTAAGACAGATGACAAAAGATAAATGTGCAAAATAACTTTTAGATATTGCAAATGTATAAGAAACATAAATGGATGAGCAATCTGTTCACACCTAATTATAAATTCAAGAAAGGTATGTTGATGAGGAAAATTATTAAACTAGAGGATATAGGAAATCACCTAAATAAGTTTTATGTATTGAGTTAAAATTAAAAAAACGCTTCGAGTTCTATCAATAAAGTCTTTCCAGATTGTTAGCCAATTTAATGTGATTCCATGAAGCCTACTTGTAGGCTACATTGTTTGAGGTTTGTTTGGGTGGAGGAAGGATATTATAGAAAACGTATGAAAATAATTTTAAATACTTTTAAAATCAATTTTTACTTTTGTATGTAAGTACAGTTATACACAGTAAGATATAGGAAACTTAAGTTACACCTTGATGAAATTTTACAAATATATACACATCTGTGTAATCATAACCAGTATGAAAATATAAAACCTTTCCAAAACTGAAATGGCTCCCTAATGCTCTCTTCTAATCAGTAACCATTCCAAGCCCAGAGGGTTTAACCACTATTCCTTAACAGTGGACATGTTTTTGAAACTCATATAAATAGTATTATCTTTTATGTCTGACTTCTTTCAATCAAAGTTGTATCAGCTGTTATGTGTACCACTACTTCCTTTTTTTGAATTTCCAGATAGCATCTGATTATTTAACATACCACAATTTATTACCCATTGAACTGGTAAAGGACATGACTGCTCTTTCCATTTTAAAGCTATCATGAATAAAATTGCTGTAAATATGACTGTACACATATTTTGATGGACATCAACCCTTGTTTCTGTTGTATATATACCCAGTAGCCAAAGTATTAACACATGGAACACATGTATGTAGATAGTTAATAGACGATGCCAATGTTCTAAAACAGGTGTATTAAATTATACATCCACCAACAATCTATGAGATCTACCAATGTATGAGACTGGGTGTTCCACATCCTCATCAATACTATGTATTATCAGTCCTATTAATTTAACCATTCTGATTGAGCACATACCTTCTTTAACAACCTCTTCTAGTGAAGAGCAACCACATTCCCTTCTTCCATGTGAAAAGAGAGAACTTTTTTTTTTAATTTTTTTCAATTAATTTATTTTTTTAATTTATTTTTTAATGTTTATTTATTTTTGAGAGACAGAGAGAGACAGAGTGTGAGTGGGGGAGGAGCAGAGAGAGAGGGAGACACAGAACCCAAAGCAGGCTCCAGGCTCTGAGCTGTCAGCACAGAGCCTGTCGTGGGGCTCGAACTCACAGACTGTGAGATCATGACCTGAGCCAAAGTCCTCACTCAACCAACTGAGCCACCCAGGTGCCCCAAGAGAGAACTTTTTAAAACTGCTCATGAACACTATGTATCTCTACTTCTTCATATTGATGTCTGGGAGGATTTACTTTAAAAGTAAACAGAAAATTAGAAAGAATACATGGTTGTAGAAGAGGGTTAAAAAAAAACTAAAAAAAAAAAAAGAAAGGATATCATAGTATCTGTTGAAAGTTAAGCTCGGCAGAATAATGTGTCAAGGACATGATTGACTAAGAATGGTGGTGAAGACAAAGAATGGATAAAGCAGGTCAAATGATTTTTAAATCGATGACCCAAGCAGAAATGCTTTCTGAACAAAGTAAGGAAGTATGGCACAAAGCTAAAGAGGAACCATTTCTCCACTTCTACATGGGGCCCAGCATTGTGAAAACACTCTGAAGATGGTGAGTACATTTTCTTCAATTCCCAAAGTGAAAGTGTCAATTTATAATCCCACCAGTTATATGTGAGGAGCCCAGAAACATTCTGAATAAAACTAGTGAACAGGGAATTGCATAAATACCAAAATTTAACACAAAGACACTGAAAACAATATAGACTGAAAATAACACAGAACTAGAAAAGTAATGTAAGAAAATAGAGTGCAGAAATAAATCCAGGTATATTATATATAGAACTTAAGCTGTGACAAAGAGGATACTTAAGTTTTTGAGGGAAAAGGTGGTAAATTTAATAAATGATTCTTGTGTAATTGGTTATTCATCTTAAAGGACAAAAATTATACCTTTTAAAAGAGTGGGGTGGAGGCAAAAGAATCTAAAGAACTGAACTCCAGAGAGATAAATCCTTCTTGGATTGGCAGACACTGGTGATTGTTAGAGGCACTGCCAAGTATGGGCATAGGTGAGTGGATTATACAGTATTTCATAATATACAAGGCCTTGGGCTGTGAGACAGGATAAAACAGAAAACTTATATAAGGCACCTCAAAATTAAATTACGGGAATCTTCAATAGAGAAAAATTTTTAAGTAGCCATAGGGTAAGGATAAGGGGACCAAAGGATAAGAATATGGTACACATCTCATCAAAAAGAATGAAAGCCAGGGGATTAAGGAAAGACATATTTAAAGTGCTGACAGAAAAAAAACTGCCCATCAGTTGGCAAAAAAACCTAGCTTCCTTCCCTATGATCCCACAAAGATCAACAACTGGACAGCAATACACAAACAGTCCCAGGAGACCACTAGAGTCCACACAGAATGTTTTAACAATAAGTTAAAATAATCACAGAAGAGAAGGAAGGCAACTTCATCTTGCCTGCACAATCCCATCCCCCAACCTAACACAGTTCAAAATGCTCAGAAGAAATCTCCCAGCCACCTGAGTGGCTCAGTCGGTTAAGCGTCCAACTTTAGCTTAGATCATGATCTCATGGCTCATGAGTTCAAGCCTCACATCAGATTCTGTGCTGACAGCTCAGAGCCTGGAGCCTGCTTCAGATTCTTGCCTCATTCTCTCATAGATGTACTGAGCCAGCTATGAACAATGAATAAAAGCAGAAGCTATTAATAGCAGACAAGCACCAGGAGCCATCATGGTTCACAGAGACCTGCTCTGCAGACAAACTCAGTATATTTCACAAGTGACAAAGCCAAAGGCTAGCACAGCCACTGTGGACTCCCACAGATATTGCCAGCTTCCCACCCTTGGGTAGTTTTGTTAGCTGAAACCAGCTGCATGAGTCCTTTTCTAAAACCTTCCCCTGCCACCACCAGATCTGTACCACAGCCATGCAGGATTTCTATGGCTGCATAAGTATAAGAAGCCAGTCACCTAAGTCCTTCCTAAGCCACACAGGAGCCAAGGGGCTGCACATGCAGCCAACTTGAGCTTCTACAGCTAGATGAGTATAAGACACCAGCCTAGTGCACCCCCCATCTCTGAACACTGTTGCCCATGCTCAGAGCTAGCCCCTCTAGCTGTGAACCACTGTCCTAACACCCATCACTGACCTGCACTGCAGCATGCACGCACAAGGTGGGGGAAACATACAGCCACTGGTGAATATACAGAAAGCCATGAAACCCTGCAGCTCATATCAGGTCCTGCCTTCTGTCACTGTCCAGTACCACCTTGCCCACCTGTACCTAGCTCCTCCAGGCTGCATATCTATACTCCCTCACTCAAGCTCCCTTCCATGGTCTCCACTGCAGAGTGCATGCCTGGAGGGAGAGTGTGCAACCACAGGAGGGGCATTGTCAACCAGGGTCTCCACAGTTGCCAGGGAGCCCATAACTGGCTTTAGGCCTTTCTACCTGCACTGATACTCACCACTAAAACTGTGTCTGAGACAGGTCTCCTCCACCACATAGATACCTGAAGCTGCCCACCACAGCTCAGTGTGTGCACACCACTGGCTCTGGCTACTACCACTGCTTGCTTTGGTCCCTAGCTACCAAACCTGGAAGTGTTGCTTAGGACCCCAACAGCTCTCACAGGCACTGCAGATCTTTCACAGTGCTCACCAAAGATCAATCGGTTCAATGCAGAGGAACCTGGTGGCCTGAGCATGAAAGACATCGTGCCTTCCTGAACCCAGTGCCACCATACGCCAGATTTCTCACCCTCCAACACTAGACCCAGGGTCAGTGCATGATTAAGTGTGCCTTCACACAAAGGTGAAAGGTTCCCCATATGGAAATGCCTCTTTCGTCTGGAAGAGGTAACTGCTTCTTCAAATACATAGACATGAAAACATGATTCTTCATGATTATGAAGAATCAGGAAAATATGTCTCCACCAAAGGAATACCGTATACCTCTAGTAACTGGCCCAAAAAAATGCATATCCAGAAAATGCTGAATAAAGAACTCAAAACAGTT